GCAAGCCTCGGCGTTGCTCCCGCGCCTCGCTCAGCCAAGTGAGCGGGAACCGGTCTGTATGTGGGATCCGAACCCTCGGACGGGAGCGCCGCCACGATTCCCAAGCGGCGCACTATCCAGTGCGCCACCGGGCCGGCCCGAAGAGGATCTTTTGAATCTCATTTTTGCTGAGCACTGTCGGGACTGGAGGCTTACTATGGTATTGCTTCAGAGGCCTCTGCCCCCCTCTGTGCACACATCTGAATTGGAGGTGCAAGCTGGGAGTCTTGGGGAGCATTTCTAAGCCCCTCTTTTCACAAATGGCAAACTGAGGCTGTACAGCAAGTTGGGGTGGGGAGGGGACCGGCATCCCTTCCTCTTCTTTTGGCCTAGTGTCCCTTTCTTTGCATCATTTTTTCTCTGAAGGAAATCACTATAACAAAATTCAGCTTTTATTCTGCAGCAATCCCAGACCCTGGGCAGGGTCTGCATGAGTGGGGTGTGTCTGGGGGCTGGGCAGACCCTCTAGGCTCCTGTCCTTGGGGAAGGGGCTCCCCTGAGTCCTGAGTAGCACACATCGGGATGTGAGAAACTCCTCTGCCTCTGACCTCAATGAGTGACAAGGACATAATGTCATGCAGCTTTTCTGACTGGGCATGCAGATTGGAGAAGCCTGAGTGAGCATCCTGCAAGTCCTGTAAGCCCCACAGTGGAACCTTACACCCTCCTAGGATGCTGGGGCATTGCTCAGGGACCTCGCTGTATGGCCTGCTCCTCTTCTCGCTCCTCATCTGCAGCAGCCTTGAGGTTCTGGGTTTCATGATGAATGCACACCTGACAAGGGCATTGCTTGAAAATCCTGCGCCTTCCCCAGCCTGCTATGGGCCTCTTCCCTTCCTACCTGTCCTGGCATTTGTACATTTGACACTTTACCGGAGGGCACCCTATTCCCCACCTGCCTCTGCTTTATCTGGGACAGTGTGGTCCCCACTCTTAGAGGCCCCTGCTCTTGGAGGTCCCCAGTCCTGCTGCTTTCTGCAGGGTGGCTGGTTCAGGGGCTCTAGGTGGGCACCTCCCAGGTGCACTTTCCCAACAGGCTGAAATTTGCCCTTTTTAAAAAGCTATAAAGAGCAGATGCCTGACCTGCTGAAATTCTGGGACTCCAGGGTTTCCTTCTCAAACTCCTGGTGGTCCTTGTGAAGAAAGTTGCCTCTGCTGGGGTCATTGGTCTCCCACCGTGGTGGCAGGAACCAATGCCAGGCAGTCACAAATGCTCTGGTCAGGCCAATTGTTCACTCGTTTGGGGAGGCAAGCGTTACTGTCCCACATCTCCAACCGGTTTAAAATAATCTGCATCAACTGCTTAGTTACTTAAGCAGTACGTTCTTAGTGAAGTTCTCCTAGCAACACTTGGTAACCTGCAATTTTTACCATTTGCTTAGTAATGCTTCAAGGCAGTTCCTGAAATATCCTGTCTGCCAGGTGGAACTTAGGGACAATACTTAATTGTTGTGCTGCTTGGTGAGATTCTGTCAGCCAAGTCAGGCATGTGTTCAGAGTCTCTTTCCTGAGCAGAAGTGTGCTGCCCTCTGTCTGTCCATCCATCTGTGTGAGTTATCCAAGATGTGGCTGGGGTGTCTGAGCTGATGCCTGCCGCCTTCTGCCTGTAAGCAAGGTGGTGTCCCCATTTTACAGATGAGAACACCCATGCTCCGAGCAGCTCAGGTGCCCCAGGCAGATGCTACTGAGGTCGAAGGTGGCCAAGCAGCAGCCTACATCCTTGAGCTTGGGCTCACCGTCCACCTGGCCGTTCTTGCTGTTATTAGGAGTATTGCTAAGAGAGGCCCCAGCTGCCACAATCCCAGCCTCATAGTCCCTGGCCCTCTTCTGGATACCAGGGGGCCCATCAGGAGGCACTTGGGGAATGCAGCTCTGACCCTGCAGTCATGCCCTCAGGGGTCTGGGGAAGGGCTTATCTGGAGGCCCTCAGAGGCAGGGGCTCAAGCTGCTTTTACCCATCCAGGTTTCTATAAGTTAACCTTTACTTTTCTTGTCTTT